GGCGGGAGGGGGGACAGGCATGTGGGACCCTCACTCATCTTTGGGGAAGGCCATGAGGAACTGGGGGCAGTCCCTACCAGAGACTTCTGGTCCCCCAGCTGAGGGTCCACAGAGCTGCTGCTGCCACGCCGTGAGTCCAGGAGGCCATGGGCCGTGTCCAAGTTCGGAGAGCTCTTGGGGGTGGGCATGGGCGTGGCCGCCGTGCGCATGATGACTGGAGGGGGCAGGCTGCCCCGGCCCTCCAGGTGCCCGTTGGGGGTCACAGCCAGGGAGTACATCTTCATCTCTGGAGGGGGAGAGGCCACTGGTGTCTACGGGGCTCTCAGGAAGGGGAAGCTGCCCCCTGGGAGTCGCCCCCGGGAGCCCCATCTCTGCCAGGTCAGGACAGGCACTGCCTGCCCTGCCCGCTCCATCCCTGCCCCCATCACCCCCCACATACCTGTGGCCCTGAGGTCTCTGAACTTGTCGAAATCCTCTTCCAAGTGAGTGGACGTCTTGTCTTCGTCTGTGTCAGACCTGTTGGCGTCGCCCTGCGCCCCACAGAGCAGGTGTGAGGTTCCCCTTGGGCGGGAGCCAACAAAGTAGAGGGCGGCCCAGGAGGAGGTGGAGGCCATGCCGTTGTAGAGGACGACGTTCCAGTCCTCCTGGGTGAGGATCTGGGGAGAAAGGCAGGGAGGCAGAGAGGGGGGAGCAGGCCCGAGGAGGGCCGACGCGGTGGGGGGAGAGGGGACACCGGGGGTGAACCCCAACCCCCCCCACAACCCCGGACATGCTGGCAACTCCTCAGAACCAGGAGCTCTGCACTGGCGAGGACACAGGCCACCACCTAGGGGACAGCATCGCTGCCCGTGCCGTTCACAGCTCAGCTGCTCCAGCCTCACGCAGGCCACACGCGCACCGGGCTGCTGTGAGCAGGGCTGCAGCTCTCCTGGGGCCGCGCTGACACCAGGGGGCAGCCCCGCCAGGCTGTACCTGGAACACGGTGACGATGGCCCACAGCAGGGAGTCAAAGTTCTTCCTGTCGGGGACCGTGTCTCCAGTGTCCGTCTTCAGGCTGAACTTGCAGCCGAAGAGGTGCATACCCAGGATGCTAAGGGTGGGGGGCAGGAGTGAGGTGGGTGGGGAGAGGAGGGGCGGAGCGGGTGAGGCCACTCTGCCTGCTCACCTTCAAACCCAGCAGCTGCTCCTCTAGGCCTCCCTCCACTGGGCCCCCTGCTTCCTGGTTTCTGGGGGTGTTCATGGTGGGAAGCCCAAGGCCAGGGGAGGGAAGGACAACCAGAGACCGCCCTGGCTCCAGGCAGGGGCTAGGACCTGGGTTGCCTGCCTCACCCACCTGCCTGGGCTGCTCTCCGCCCAGCCTCTCCCCGAGTCCCGGCCAGGCTGGCACAGCAGGTGCTCAACAAATGATGAACTCCAGCCTGGCTACCCCCGCCCCTTCTCTGTCCCCTTGCTCTCTGCTCAGTCCCCAATCTATACATCCGGCGGTCTGTCCTGTCCCCACATTCACTGTGAGCCCACGAGAGCAGAGCCCAGCCCGGTCTCACGTGACTCACACCTGCACATGGAAGGCATCCAGCTACTGGGCTCCTGCAGAACCTTTGAGGCTCCCGCTGCCCCCACCCCACAGCCCCAAAGCCAGGAGCACAAGGCAAGTGCAGCAGGGAGGGGTTCCCCTCTGTGGGGAGGGGAGGGCTCACCTGAAGATGAAGATGAAGAGCATGAGCAGCATGCAGAAGGTGGCCACGTTGTCCATGGTCTTCATGAGCACCACCAGCTGGCGCCGCAGCGCGGGCATGAAGCGCACCAGCTTCAGCACCCGCAGCAGCCGGAAGGTCCGCAGCACCGACAGCCCGCCGTCCGCCTGCCCGATGATCTCCCAGACGCTGCGAGCCAGGCCCAGGGTCAGGAGGTGCCATCCTGACTGCAGATCCCTGCACTACCCTGCCTCCCAACTTCAGCCCCATCTCTGCCAGGTCAGGACAGGCACTGCCTGCCCTGCCCGCTCCATCCCTGCCCCCATCACCCCCCACATACCTGTGGCCCTGAGGTCTCTGAACTTGTCGAAATCCTCTTCCAAGTGAGTGGACGTCTTGTCTTCGTCTGTGTCAGACCTGTTGGCGTCGCCCTGCGCCCCACAGAGCAGGTGTGAGGTTCCCCTTGGGCGGGAGCCATCTGTGCCAAGCACCCCCTCGGAGCGCCCCACGGAGGTAGGGCTGGTGTGGCGGTGGGTGTGAGAGGCCCATGAGACAAGGACAGAGACCTCCCGTGTCCGTCTGCCCCAGGCTCCCACCCCCTGGGAGCCCCTCACCTCCGCCTGGAAGCCCTCCACCAGGATGGCCACCAGCAGGTTGAAGAGCACGTAGTTGCCGAAGGTCATCAGGGCCACAAAGTAGAGGGCGGCCCAGGAGGAGGTGGAGGCCATGCCGTTGTAGAGGACGACGTTCCAGTCCTCCTGGGTGAGGATCTGGGGAGAAAGGCAGGGAGGCAGAGAGGGGGGAGCAGGCCCGAGGAGGGCCGACGCGGTGGGGGGAGAGGGGACACCGGGGGGGAGCCCCAACCACCCCCA